TAGATAAGATCAAAATATAAGGCTGATGGAGGAGAGGTGTTTATTTTGCAGCTCTCTTTAGTGATGGAAATGAATGGGAAACGAACATAAAATTGCTGGAGGTAAACAGCTTTCCTGTGGTAAATGGCTGGTTTTGTCTCATTCTGAGAAAAAGGGTAAATAAAGATGCATATTTCTTACTTTTCTAAAGAAAACTTGTTGAGAGAAATGCTCTTCATGTGTCTAAAGTGGATACATGTTTTTAAATGCAGATTACAACAGGACTGTACAGGTGCAGTTTAGAAGTGGTGTGCAGTTTTCCTGCAGAGTGTGTGTTATTTCATCTGTTTTGCTGCAGCAAGGCTACCATCTCCCTTCTACATCACACAGCAGGAAACCTTGAGCTGTCTCCCAAGCCCTCTGCTATCCGAACAAGAGGCAGCAAACACAGGGAATCTCACTGAAAGGTCAAAATGCAGCTGCAGAGTTGGTGTGCACAAGCGCTTTGGTGCGTTGGTTGCTTCCTCGGGGCTGATGAAAAACGGGCTCGTCCTGCCTCTGGTTTCCTGGAGCTTATTGGGATTTAGCATCCTCCCTTCCTTAGAGTTTGATTAAATTGGCCAAATGATTGACAGACAGTTAGGGGCAGGATGTAGGCAGACAAAGTGTGATAGCAGAAACTTCCTTTCACTGAGGAAAATGAGCTAAAAATGTTTAATTTTGTTTGCTGTACATACATCTGTTTAGGTGACGGATGCAGAATGTGCCAAGATTGCTGCAGAGTTAGTGTGTTTGGAGAGTGGGTTATTTTGTTTAGATAAGAGATCCTGGAAAATTTAAGCAGGTCTTGAGTTTTGATAAAGGCTAAGTTACTGAGTAAGACCCTGGCAATGCTTCAAACTTGTCATGGAGTAATTTTCAAATTACAAGCGAGTCTGAACAAAACTTACTCAAACACAACAGATATAAGTATCTGCAGCAGGCTCATCCAACGCTTCAAATGGTAATTCAGACATAGGATTTCTGGATCATGGAGGAGTCACTGTTGCGGGCAACTCTGCCTCATAAGGTCATTCATAAATTATTAAGCACTTTCTTAAAACTTGTGTAGGTTGTTATTTTCAGTTACTCCTATGGGAAGGCTATTCCTTTGCTGCTCAGGAATCTTTTGCTCGTAGTTTGTATATATATGTGTTTCTGACCACTTTTTCCTGTGTGCTAACATTGTCCTTTTGTTTGAATCTTTTGCTTTCGGCTCTGGTGTTTACATGTTTGGTGCATATAAGGTCAAACTCCCAACCTGTTTTGTGAAGCTAGACGAGCTGAGCTCTCTGTTCTCCTTGGGAGCAGCTCTTCCTTCACCTGTCCCACCAGCTCTCTCTGCAACCTGTTAGGTCCTGAAGTGTTGAATTCAGAAGTTAAGCACTAAAATTGTTTCCAGCAATGTTCTTTGCTATGCTGCAGTTTCCTTTTAAGCTGCTTCTTCATGGGAGGCTTTTGGCATCTCCCCTTCTGCTTCTGTAGGCTCAAGTGTCATTTTTACCATGATCTCTTGGAGTGTTAGATGATACTGTGGTAAAAATGCTGCTGTACTATTAACATTGTTCCATAATTACCAGTTGTTCGGTGCTATTCTGCTGCATAATTCAGATGTAATATGAAACATCTTGGCTGTGTAAGTCTGCTGGCATGTTTCCTTAGCCCAGTAAAGATTAATGCTGTGCCCTGTCTTTTCCGACCATTTCTTTCAGGGAAGATTTATTCCTCAAACTTCCCATGTAAGGGGAAAGACCTAATTTGTTTTGGCTTCCTTGCAGGGGCTCAGAAATATCTTCCATTTGTGCTAGATGAACTCGCCCAGCTGGTGGTGGGTGATGTGCTGATACACAGTGCTCTCTTCCTCCCCTCCTGGTTGGTGTGGCTTTTCCTGGAGCATACTGGAGCGGAACAGCACTTCCACATATGCAGGATCTGTGGGCCCGGGGAGGAGGATGTGCTGCGGAAAGGAGCCTGGGAGATGTGCATAGGAGCGCTTTCTGAGTAGCAGCTGCCTGCTTTTATGCCGCAATTCATTCTTCCTGTGCATTTGCTGGCTTCAACAGATGCTGAGAGGAGTGGCTGACCTGAAGTTCTGAACACCCCGAGCAGGCAGGCTGCTGTATCTCACATAAGTAACATAAAAGGATAACTGTGATTTGCTCAAAAAAAAAAAAAAAAAAAAAAAAAAAGCTGAGGGGAGCTCAAAAGCTTTCCCTGTAAGAGATAAAATTATCTTTTTAATACCACACTGTTCAAACAGCAATGCTGAAACCCACCTGTTTCTTCCTGCTTGGTTGGAACACTGAATTTCTGTGGCTCACTTGGGAATCAGAAAAATTCCAAATTCAGGTACTGTTTTCGACCTTCACAAAGCATCAGCTGCCCTCTTAAGTGTTGAAGCACATCTTACTGATATTTCTTTTTGCTGTTCCTCACTTTAGAGCACCCAAAACAGGCTTCATGGAAAAGCTTGGAAAGCTTGACTAGAGAAGGGGGTGCCGAGACAGAAGTGAAATCAAGAGGGCAATCCCTGTTTTGAACATTGAACTGCCATTCAGAACCCCACTAAGAGTTCTTTGCCTATAACATTAGTTTAGCAGGCACTATTGATATCCAAAAAGCTTCCTGTGAATGCTGCTGAGAGGAAATGGTGTCACACTCTGAATATCCCTAATTAAGCTGGTAATTGGACCAAATTTGAGCTGGAACCAATTTTTTTGGTGTTCAATCTGGATGACCCAAAGTTAAGAGCAAGTTAGAGCCTAGCTATGTGTATTCTTCCTAAAGTAAAGACTGGGCAAATAGACACATTAATATAAGGTTATTAATGATGTGATGAGTTAGTTGGTGGTTGATGTTGCAAAGAGGATGAAGGAATGAGTCATTAAACAACTAGAAGAAAATGGGAGTAGAGCATCATAAAGGCAAGGAGAGAGAAATGCTCTCAGGTACTATTGCTTCTTGCTGGTATTCGTGGCTCCAGGCAAAACAATTTTCACCTGTGATCCTGTCAGTGCCCTTGAGAGTGTCTGCCAACTGCTCTGAAACTTTCATTTACTCCTCATTTCACTTTTTGTCAATTGGGTTCACAAGTGTAGGATTCAGTATTACATTCTCATTTTCTTCAGAGACAGATCTTGACCAAATGAGTTGCAGATTGTACAGATAACATTGGTTTTTACTTCTTAATGTCTGATTAAAAAGCCTTACTGTTCAAAGGTCATTTAGTAAGATACATTATACACTAATGTAATCAATGTCCTGTTGTAGGTGCTTATAACAATATTATAGGCTAAACCTCTTTCTGCCATCAAGGATGTATTCTTTCTATTTACTTTATTTAATTAACCAAAACAACAGACACTGCTGTTCATCAGAAAAGGCACATCTGTCAAATGCTTTTTAAATTTAATACTAATAGATGCTAAGGAGATAATATCCAACAAAAGTTTATTAAATATCTAGAAATGTTAAAATATCGACTTTACTGTGGGGTTTATATAGTTGCAAACGAAGAAATAATTGACAGAAGCCTCTTTCAATTTTTTTAAATTTTTTTAAAATTTTTAACTTTAGTTCCAGTTTTCCCTCTGGTGAGAAGCTGTAGTCTGCAACAGCTAGGCTACCATCTTGTCATGTCTTGTGACTGTTCTTACTAGGAAGTGGTAGGGTGTTGATCAGAGCATTATTTGAAGATAAATATCCAACAGTTAATATGAGCCTGCAGATTATAACACAAGTGTGTCACTCATAAGTCTGCCTCAAATCTTTAATACCTCTGGAATTTTTCCTCATGCTTGTGGTTTTAAGGGATTTTTGCCATGTACAAAGTGAACAAGAGTGTTAAAGAAGGTATGTCAATGTTTATTGTGTTACAGAAAGAGATTTCCCAATCAAAACCAGTTCTTTTGGGATAACTTGTGTGTTCCTCTTCTCTCCCCACTTTCTCTTGAGTATTTTGTCACTATGGGTAAATGGGCCTGTTCAAATAAAAGGCTTTTTACTTTTCTTCTGTAGGTTTGAAATCCCATTTTAATATCTGGGCAGCTTTTCAATCGGCTTTCCTAGTCTGTAAAACCAATGTTTAAAATTTGGCTTAAAAATTGGGATTCGCTGCTGCAGAAGTCATTGGGAAGTGAGGCAGTCCTTCACTGCCGTACAATTGCTTGAGTGCCTCTTGCTAGGGGATGCTCGTATGTCGTTCCACGTTGGTTGTGGGTTTGGTTTTTTTTTTTTAAATAAAAAATTCTTTAATTTACGAGAGAGTAGGTTTCCAAATTATTTTTTTATTTAAGAAAGATTGTGTTTTGGGTGAGTAAAAATACCTCTAATCCATTCCAGTTGTAAGGTAGCAGTTTGACTAATGACACTTGCAGCTGCAGAGTCCTCTGGTGTAATGGGTTGCAACAACTAACTGTCCTTAGCTTCAGCTTTTTATTCTTTGTATTATTGTTTTTCTCCCTGAATCTTATTGGGACAGGGCTTGATGCACTGTTGATTTAAAAAAAAAAAATAAAAAAAAAAATTAAAAATTTGTTAGGATTTTTTGTAAACAGGGTAGACATTATTTGCAAAACTTATTTTGTCATAGTTTATTTAGTTTCCAATGAAGAGACGGTGAAGTTTGAAAGTGTAGGAAGGATCTGAAGGCATCGTGGGTTGATTAGGAGACTTGTGAGGGAGAGTCCTGGAGGAGGGATGCACTTGGGGCACTTGTAG